TAGTTCACCTATAAAAATGTTTTAAACCCTTGAGCTGTGACACAAATGCTTCCTACGACTCAAAAAAATTTCCTGGATGTATTAAGCTCTTAATCCCATGTTCCTTCGCGTTCAACTAGACACTCTGACTAATTAAGCTGAAATCTTGCCCGTTCACTTACTTGGACCAAATTAAGCTCTTGCCTCAATAAACCAAACCGATATAGAGAAGTAGCAATATGAGGAGTCCCAATTGCCCGACACCCCTTGTGTTTTGCGGTGGCACACTTCTAATATTAAGGGAGGCCGCCAAGCAAACCCAGGGTGCATAACATTAAGGGCTGCATACATATGTATATCTTCAAATTGATTTGTCACAGTCCAAACGCCGCAGTGTTTTTTGCTGATAAGTATCGCTATTACAGTGACAACCAAAATGTGCCAGACTGTAAATTCTGTCTGTATTTCCAACTTTCCTTGCTAAATAGTTGTCGGTTGTACTACAGTGTTTTAGCACTAATTAGGCTCTTATTTCTCCACTTTCCAAGCCTAGCTTTTCAGTGTTTAATGAGAGCGAAAACGCAATGTTTCTTAAACCTCAGAAGCTCAGATGCAATTAAATTAATTCGCAGAAAAGTATTGGCATTTTTCGATTTTTTTCGAGTATTTTCGTGTTTGTTTGGGAACTGCTCAAAAGTTTTGTATGGCAAAACCATCCCTACCAAAGCTTATCTAAACGGAACGAAACATTCTGCTAATAAATTTAAAGTATTAGAGCTGCTTAATAGTTCTGCCTATGTCCGCTATCTTGACAGCAATAAATATGGGAAAATTGATCGCGGTGTGAGCAAAAGTCGCTTTTCAATGTGCTAAATTCAACGGCAATATCTTTCAAACACGTAAAAATAAAAAATAGACTTTCAGATGCACTGAAACTTCCGTAACCTTGTAACAAACGATTCCTAAGCCGCAATTGACCACTAACAGACTTTCTGGATCTAAGTTTCAGAAGCTTTGAACTGATCCAGATAATTTTCTCATTTGACACTAATGTTTATAGTTTAAATCATTGAAACTGTTTGGCACATATTTTCGAACCACTTTTCACTATGTGAGTGGACTTGCAAACCTAAGAGCAACAAAGACAAATTTATAACTAATAAAATATACGGCTTCATAAAAGAATTAGAATTGAAAATATAACTGAAAACCGGCGATTGCAGTTAGAGTTGTTTTTCAGTTAATTGTGGCAAAGAGATCAGATCAACACGACGATCAATGTGATTAAGAACGAAAGATCAGATAGAAAAATGTCCACAAACATAAAAAATTGAAATCCAACGGTTCATTTTGCAATGTAAAACATTTTGGACTGTTTGGTAGATTGTGAAAATAATTTTAATTTAATCGAGAGCCATTTCAAGTAAATGTTCGCAAGGTACAAACGTTTTTTGGGTTTCATGCATTTCTTAAGTATTCCAGATTTTTCCTTCTTTCTTTTCCAGTCTTTTAGCCATTGAAATATTCGCTTCAACTCTCCCATATTCAAAACAATTACGTATTCAAGTTTACGCTTATTTTTGCAGAATAATTTTAAAAACCCCGATAAAATATTTGCTGTTGAAAACTCCTCAGCAAAATTCTCCAAAAGTCCTGCGATGTAAAATCGTTGTTCAGCCGTTTATGGTTTAAAGAAAACATTTGGAAAAAATAATTTCAACTAACACCGAACAACGACACAA